AATACAAAATAAGATCCTACCACATTTTCTATTTTGTGAGATATCATGATATTCAGTAAACACGCCATACTGACTCCGCCCACCACTTCATCATTTGAGAAGTCTTATTTATCTACACCTACTTTTATATACCAATCACTTTATAATCAATTGAAAGCTATATATTTATTCTACATAATTCTCTCAGTATTCCCAAGTTATCTACGAGAGAAATGCTCTTATATCATTGGAAAGTTTGAAGTATTGTTATCAAGGCTATTTTGTGAATAGAAATTATATTTTATGAACCCTGATAAATTAGTGGATTTTTGGGGTATTGGTATAGCAATTTATAATTTTTTTATTCCAAAATGCTTATATAAAGTCTACAAAAATTATTATTTTTCCATCTCCACATGTGAATTTGAACAAGACTTAGCAAGTATGGCTCACGAGTGTAAACAAGGACTTTGTAGCATCATTGATAGTAGAGATCATTGTTTTCCAAATATTTTTTATTTACTTTTATATGTTTGAAGAAAAATAAATGGAATTAGTTATATATATATATATTTGTAATGTATGGTAGCCAATGTGCTACTGTATTTTACAAAGTAAAAACTTGTGTTATTTTTTCCACTCGTTTACATTGAGGTAGAATAAAAATAAAAACTTGGCAATTCAGGAAGAGTTTATTTGTGTAATTTGTGAAAGTCTAAGAAATAAATTTAGCACTGATCAACTGATCTTAACACAATGAAAAGGAACATCATTATATAAACAACCGGTTTAACTTGCAGTTTGCTGGTGAATAATTTGTTTCTAAAGTTACAATCAAGAAGGCTAAGCCAAGAATACTAGCACAACCAAAACAAGCCATATTCATATGACTGGAAACTACACATTTATTTCTCACTGTGTAAGCATGGTAATATAGGAAATAGAATGTCCGTAAGCATTTACATACATTTAAACCTATACCAATGCTAAATCCTGACAACCAAGTAAGATAACTAGCAAGTTTTTGGATAGGATTCAACTTTGTACTTTGTACAGAGCCATATCATAAATATTTTCCCTCACTTTTACAAAGTATTTTAGACAATTCTTGTTGCAACCACTGTATTGTAAAGAAGTAATTGAATCATAACCACTAGAGTTTCCATACTATACCTTCTAATATGTTTTATGTATCTTCACAAAATTTTGCAAACTTTCAGTAAACATTACAAGTCTTGCAAAAGTATTTTTACTAAAGATCTGACAGTGAATATATGGAGTCAAAGTGTTGACTGCTTTGAGTGTAAGTGATTTTTATGTTAAGGTTAAGAATACTTGATCTGAAAAATCTCCAATTTCATTTGCATAATCTCTAAAACCTCCTATATAAATATCCAACTATTTTTTCAGTAAAACTTAATATTTTACCTGTTACTTTCTCTACCCTAACTCTATAGGAAGTCAATCAATTTGAACAACATCATAACCACCGTAAAAGATATTAAATGTAAACTCCTTTTTTTCCTAGAATGATATCACATTGTAACACGAAACTACATTTATTAATACTAAATAGCTTAAAACTCATATCAAAATACACCTGTTTCTACTTATGCTTTATTGTCTTTTGAAACATGTCTAACTAATTATTCCACCATACAAGTTGTAAGTCACTTGGTGAACTTATAGTTCACACTACCCTATCAAATTACATAAGGCACTGGCTACTCACGAGTATACCTCATGAAAATTTTTTATTACTATTATTTTTCTTTACTTTACCTAATCTAACCTTATCTAACTTAAAAATGGTTTCTAATTTTTACATTTTAGTTACTTTTATAATAAGAAATAAAGATACATGAAGAACAAGAAATATAGTACTTACCTGGGTCTTATTTTTTTTTTTTTTTGCTGTCGACTGTCAAAGAAATTTAACCCTACCTTTTTACTAATGGTACTACTGCACTAAATAATTTTTTTCTAATTAAATAATGCAACTAAAAACACAGAATAATAACATATAAAACGCAGACAGTCTTATAACTGTTATAATTTTTCTGGGTTTATAACTATGCAATAAGAGCTGTTTAAAATCCAGTTAAGCTTGTTGATGTGTTTCCCATGGGAATTAAGTTTGAACTGAAAGTGAAATAGACAATTCTCTGTACAGAAAATGTGATAATATAAAACATCATTTGATAGATTAAAACTCTGGCTTTCTACTGGTTATAAACAATATAGTATTAAACATCAGAAAGAACTATTGGTAATTTGCAAAAGACAGGATGTGAAAGGTGGACATGGCAAGGTGGGTCTAATTTTCTAGTTTATGCCTCTGTAACCAAATAAGACTGAAGGCTATGAAAATTATGCTTTGCCTAAGTAATAACAATATTATAATGAGTAATCTACATTAAATTCTATACTTCTCAGAGGGATAGTAAATAAATTAGAAAAGAGGGAAGATTTAAAAAATAAATTTCACAATTTCCATACTAGGGGAATTGAGGATTTTTCTTAAATATTGCCTTATAAAATTAAGAAGTTAAAATGTATATAATATTAAAATTTGGATTATTAGCTATGGTTTGATTCCAATTTTACTTCTATACTATGATAATAAATTTATTTAATTAAATTTTAAATATAACCCTATAAAACCTTGTGACACGTGCAGAAAAGAATGTCCATGTGGAAAGAGTTAAAATAATTCTCTTAGCTGCTCAATCCGAATATTGCAAGATAAACTTTCATACTGAAGTGAAAGTTGATAATACTCTGTACTAAAAATGACACAGCATTATACATCATCCAATAGAAGGGATGAGAAAGGTGGATGTAGCAAGTGACTTCATAAACATATAAAATTAAAGGCTATGAAAATTAGACATTGGTTTAACAATATCTATGATATAATGAATAACATACATTAAATTCCATACTTTAGAGTGAGGTGGTAAATAAAATAGAGAAGGGGGAGACCTAGAGAACAAATGTCACAATTCTCATATTAAAGAACATTGAGGATTAATTTGAATATTCCCTTATAAAATCAAGAACTTAAAACTTATGTAATATTAAAATTTCATGTATTAACTATGTTGTCATACCAGGTTTATTGGTTTACGTTGATAATAAATTAGTTTAATTAAATTTGAATGTAACTTTGTAAAAGTTTGTAACATGCAGGCTTTGACTCACTCATATCAAGAGGGTTAAATAATGATATAAACTGACATATATAATCAAGATAAAAGTACTAACTTTAACTAAATTATCTGTTTAAACAAGACAAAATATGTCCAAAGTGACATTTGTAAAGAAAGGCATAAAAATAAACCCAATGACTTGTGAACAAGTAGTTGAGATTTACCAAATTACATGTAATAATGAGCCTAATTACTTGTGAACAAAGCGTTGAGGTTTAGAAAATCATATGTAAAGGTGAACCAAACAACCTAGAGATACTTATTATCTTATTTTTAAAACTAGCTGTGTACCCGTCCTTCGTATGGGTTGTGTGTATAAATAATACATCAATTTAACAATTAACAAACAAATTACTTGTACATTATTTACATTACATTTTAA